TTCCCCCAATTCCCCAATAAAAATCTTTAAAAAAAAAACATAATTTAAAGGGTTTTAATCGTTTTTTCTTTTCTGTTTTGCTCTCGTCCTATTTCCCAGACCCAATGTGATCACATGCCTTATGTTACACTGTTAATTCTCTGTCAATTTATCATAGTCCTTCTAGTTTAATTGATTCCAATTAATTAATTAATTCCAGTTAATAGTGACACATTTCCAGCTGCAAGTTCCAATCATGTTTCTTCTGCTATAGATGTGTGAATTTCAAAAATAAAAATAAATAAGATTCTTTACAAGAAAAACAATTTTTTAAAACATTCTGTTCAAAGACACTAAGAAATGCTCAGAGAGAAGGGAGGAAAACCTGAGTGTGGTGGTAATAAGAAAGCAAGACAAAGAAGCATTTGACAGAAGTGCCCAAAGTTTCAAATACAGCAAAGGATTCCAGTCAGATAGGAGCTAAAATGTAAGATTTAGGATATAGTTGGTCATTAGCAAAATTGATGAGAGTGGTTTTGGTGGCTGGGAAGTACAGAAGCAAGATGAGTTAGAAAGAGTGTAAGTAGAAAACTCCCTCAGTAAAGGTAACTGTTCCGGAAGGGGTGGAAAGAGATAGGAAGGATGGGGTCAAGAAAGTTCTTTGTTTTGTAAAATGCAAGAGTTAAGCTTGTTTTAAAGCATTTAGAGAAAGCCTTTGACTTTGGGTGGTGAACACACAATGCAATACATAGATGATGTGTTATAGAATTGTACTCTTGAAACCTATATAATTTTATTAACCAATGTCACCCAATAAACTTAATTTTTAAAAAAGCATTTAGAGAAAGCCTTTAAGCAGAGGAAAGTTGAAGATATAGGAGAAAGGAAAGGACACTAGGTGGTACAATGGCCTGTGTTCTTTTTATCCATGCCACTGTGGTGATGTAAAATTCAGTTCAGCCCTTGGATTTATGTCCCACAACTTGAGAAACTGAGCTAAGACCATGTCATTTAATTTGTATGTGATTTAGGACTATAAATTATCACAAATTATATAATAATTTGACTTGACTTGGCATCTGGAATGTGGAATCAGGAATGAAATTGAGTGATTACCTGATGAGAAGACAGATTTAATTAATTGAGACCATTAGGTAAAAGATGAATGGATTATTACCATGTGTTTATATTATGTGTTTAGTTACATAATACATGATCCGAGTGATATCATTAGTGAAGCAGGATATACAATATGTGATTAAAATTATGATTGGATTATTTCATTGAAAGTCTCATCCTGATTAATGTTTGTATCCCAAAATATGTATCAATCTAATATCATTGCATCTTCTTAGTGATTAAGCATCCATTCTTGTTTATTTTATTTAGCCATGTTATACAAGAATGTTAAAATTCAGTTTATTCCATTTTGTGTATTCTGAACATGTTGATATTCAGCTTAGTTTACTCTCATTAATTGATGTATGCATTTAGATAGTTTAAGAATTTCCATTGTTTGAATAATTATTTGTATGCTAAGCAACAATGGGTGTCATAAAATATAACCAAGCAAATTTTAATTTGAGTGTTTACAAAGCTAGATATAATGCTAACTATGAAAATAATTATATTTTAAAATTTGAATCTATTGGACCAAATAAAATACTATCCAGGGTATCACAAGAATTGCTGTAGTCTCAAAATAAGTTTGTTAAAGGCAGAATGACAGATGGTTGTGGGAAACAGAGAATAGACAGATATTTATGATGATGCTTATGAATGAAAGCAGATAGAAGATGATTAAATATAAAAAAACATTAAAATTGTTGAGGCCCAAATGGAATAAATTAAAATAAGTTAAATAGTATAGCAGGCACCAGAGTAGTGGCAAGTTATGATTACCTCGCAAACAGCATAGTAAGAAAAAATAATACAGGAACTTTATGCAGAGTATGTTAATTGTTTCTGACCATTTTAAAGTAGTGTAACACTTTTTGCACATAAAATATTATATTGGCAGTAGCTCAGTATTTGAAATAGATGAAATCAGGAGTGCTGTTGGGTTTTACGGGGAGAGATGGGTACCAGGGAAAGGGGTTCAGCCTTGCCCACCCATTTCTGTGTCACCAAAGGTTCTCATGCAGAGCTATACAAGTCCTCCCAGGGAACTTGTGGGGTTCCTAAAAAAATACAGTTGGGAACCAAAATTTGACAATGGTATGATTTTAAAGTCCCATAACAGAAAGGACTATGTAAATGTTCATTATACGCAAGAATAATTTAAAGTACATGCCTTGTAAATCCAATTAGCTTACATTTTCTCAAACAAGTATTAAAACTGAAAGCAACAAAGGAATAAGACAAACAAACTAAGAAACAAAAACTCATAGACAGGGGCAGCTTGGTGGCTCAGTTGGTTAGAACGCATGCTCTGAACAACCAGGTTGACAGTTCGATTCCCACATGGGTCTGTGAGCTGCACCCTCCACAACTAGATTGAAGACAACGACTTGAGCTGAGCTTCCAGTGGGCATCCAGATGGCTCAGTTGGTTAGAGCATGTGCTCTTAACAACAAGGCTGCCAGTTCAATTCCCACATGGGATGGTGGGCTGCGTCCCCCGCAATTAGATTGAAACAACTACTTGACTTGGAGCTGATGAGTCCTGGAAATACACACTGTTCCTCAATAAAATTTCTTTTTTAAAAAAACCAAAAATCTCATAGATATAGACAATAGTTTAGAGGTTACCAGAGGGTAAGGGGGACGGGGTGGTAGATGAGGGTAAATGGGATCTAATATATGGTGATGGAAGGAGAACTGACTCTTGGTGGTGAACACACAATGTGATATATAGATGATGTATTACAGAACTGTACACTTGAAACTTATGTAACATTCACAAGGTTAAGGTCTGATCCAGCAGCTTGATTTATCAGCTAATTTAAGTTACAGAACTGAATTAAGTTGAAACCCAAGATTCACAAATGTTACAATATGATGTGTCTTATACCTTGCAAGAAAATTACAGCCAGCCACACTGCTATACAAGTTCTCCTGGGGAACTTGTGGGGTTCCTAAAAGAACAAGCTTTTCAGGTTCACCAGTCTACTCAGGTGATCAAATTTCAGTTCTTGGGTGAACTTAGAATTAGAATTGAATGTTCTTCTTTAATAGTTTTTTTTATAAGCCTTAATACAGTATTCATGAAAGTAACTGTTATTTGTTATATGGAACCTGAATACTTACTTGGTTTTGGATCAACTGTAGTATTTTTACCCTCTAATCCTTTTACTCTCTTATTAAATAATAGAACTACTTAAACTATATACATGCATATAGAAAATTTATGTTCATAAAATCTGTCCCTTAATCATTACCTCATGTGTCCTTGTAGGACAGTACTTTTATATCCATTATCTTATATTTTATGTATATAAGTAAAAACATTAGTATTTGAGCTTGTTTGCAAGGTTTGCAGTCTTTCCCCTATATCTTACTGTCAATTCTATCCTAGTCTTATCCATTTGAATATAGACTGTGGTCCTTTAGTTGGGATTTTGTTTTTCCAAAACATACAATATCTCTAAGAGCACATCATCTAAAGAAGCCCAACAGCATTCATTTTCTCTTACTATTACACTCTCATGTTATAATTGCATTGCTTAGAATCTATCTCCATTTTCTAGAGACAAAATAAACAAGAACAGAAGAAATACTTCCAGGTTTTATTCATTTATTTTATTTAGCTATGCTTCATAATTGCCTAAAACTCAGACATTATAGAATATAGATATGTTGTTAAGATAATTAATTTTTTCAAGAATCTAGTACTGCCTTAACAAAGCAAAATCTAACTTCTTTTTATCACTATAAACTACTTCTTAGATAAATACCTCTAGATTATCCAATACTCTAGGCTTCTTAATGAACTTAGTTAGCAATTACAATTAGTAACCAAAATAAAAAAACATAGAAATTTGTAAAACTAAAAAATTCTTAAACTAGCTATATAAGCCAAGGAGAAACAGGACCTTTAGCCATATGTGATAAACTATAAGAGTAACTTTGGACTAGAAATTCTGTCAAAAGGGTGATCAAAATATGACAGGGCAACAACCTAGAGAAGAATTATTTTTTCTTTATAATTTGCCTTATTGTCCTTGCAATAACTAGGAAGATGGGGGGAAAAGGCAAGGTCAGACGGGGCAACAGTTGACCTTGGGTCTTCATATTTCAGAGGGACTTGGTTGTGTTACGTTTGGAATTGCTTTGTTGTAGCTTTATGTCCTACTTAGTAGTTATGCAAGCTGGCTGCAATTCCACTAAGCATCTAGGATATCCCAAAAGTGACTTTCCAGGCAGCATAACTTCTATTTTCAAACATAATTCAAGAGAACTCTAAGATTGTGATAAAAAATGAAATTGCCATTGCAAAAATAATAATAATAATAATAACAACAACAACAACAATTTGGGCTGAGGAACAAATGCAGTTCAATTCAAATAGAAAAAATAAGCATGTAGATTCAGAAGTATGGCACTAAGTAATTTAATTGTTCTTCTAAATAATATTGTGAAATTTTCAAATTAAAATATTATATTTTTGCATGTAAGAAAACAATGCAGAGAAAAATTTGGACTTGTCACACCTAAAAGTCTCTAGCATAGGATTTGCCACATTACCATGGAATGTCGTATATTACTTTCTTTTAGTTAAATTTCTCTTTTTTCTCTTTAATTCAAATTGGCTTCTTGAAAAAGGAAGCATATAGCATCAAGTTATCTCACTCAATGCAGGGCTTTGAATGCAAGCTCAAGAATTCATTAATTGATTATACAATTAATTACAACTTCACTTTTACCCTTTTTTTATATTCCTGACGTACCAATGATGCAGAGTTGGGTTTTTTTGGTTTTTGTTTTTTTGTTTGTTTTCTTTTCACTTCAAGGACTATAGATGTAAAAGTTAATTTTAGCGTGCACTAATAATTTGTGTTTTTTGTTTTTCTTTTGTTTCAGTCTGCTCCCAGTACTCTAGAGGAGTATTTGCCATTTTTGGACTCTATGATAAGAGGTCAGTGCATACCTTGACCTCATTCTGCAGCGCCTTACACATCTCCCTCATCACACCAAGTTTCCCTACTGAGGGGGAGAGCCAGTTTGTGCTGCAGCTAAGGCCTTCCTTACGAGGAGCACTCTTGAGTCTGCTGGATCACTATGAATGGAACTGTTTTGTCTTCCTGTATGACACAGACAGGGGTAAGTCACGATTCCACATCTCTATAAGTAAAACTTTAATTTTTAATCTGAATGGCCTTGTATACTTGTGTGATTTAGCAAATTATTTTAATTGCTAATGTGGTTAAAATCAGAAAATGGTCAATGTGTCTTATTGGTATTTTTATCTTGACTCTGGAGGAAAGATTCTAATTAGACAAGCTTTAAATTCACAATGTTACTCATGAGTAAACCATGCCTGGTTACTTAGTTGAAATTAAGATAAACATTTTTTTTAAATTTCTGTAATGATATTTCAGGTACCATAAAATAAATGTCTTTTAATTCAAATGCAAATGATTTCATGTTTTGGAACATCTTTAATAGTATCAGGTTGAGCCATACTGTTGATTTTGAAATACAAAAGTTTAAATGAGTAATTGAAGGGTCATGACAATGACAATGGATTTGGTGGTACGGCTTCTGCTTGCTGGCAACCCTTAACTTTATCTTTACCTATCAGGATGTAAAGATTAATAAATGATACCATACAACCCAGGCGTTAGAGAAACAAGGTGGATAACTAACATTAAATTATTTAAAATTCATACACTTTTGTGTAAAGCACTTTGACTTTTCATCTCGAGACATAACTGAAGGAGTTCCTATAGATATATATTTTTTAATTCTGTTTTTTTTTTATTTAGTGACTAGAATCATAGAAACATATTATATTTCAAAGTAAACATCAGGAATCACCTGTGCAGTTTTGTCTTTGGTCCTTTTTCCTTTAAGGGTAAGAATTATGAGAAGACAAGAAGTTAGACTAAAAGTTGAAACAGGCAGCAGTTTAAGAACATTCTTTAATAGAATTCTATCTGTGAAATGAATAAAACAATAAACATAAAAACAATAAATAGGTAAAATACATCTTTTGAAGATATAATTACCTTCAAATGTCCAAAGCATAATTTTCTATACTCAGATAAATTCTCATTAAAGGAATTTATTTTTTCTCATTAAAATTTGTATCTTAATTAGGTTAGGTAGAAACAGTATTTCATATAAGATGTCTTATGAATGGTACTTTTAGAACATTACTTATATTGGCATTCTTGGTAAATTTTCCTTTCAGAAACAAGCTCAAAAAATTTATGTCATCAACGTATTTTCTGCATGGTTAGAGAATACTCTAATTCTCATTTGGAAATATGGGAACCTACCCATATCTCATGACATTATTTTCCAATAGCTAACAATCCAAAACATCCCAGCAAATGTAGTAAGTTTAAAGAAATGATCACTCTGTTTGTTTCTAACTTTTGGAAAAATCCTTAAGCAAGAGGACACTAAAAAGTGAATCATACCACAAATTAAAACAACAATGAGATGTCACTACATATCTATTAAAATGGCCAAAATGCAGATCACGGACAACACTAAATGATGGTAAGGATGTAGAGTAAAAGGAACTCTCATTTATTGTTAGGACTGAAAATGGTACAGCCAATTTGGCAGTTTCGTACAAAGCTAAATATACTATTATCATATGATCCAGCGATCACACTCATTGGTATAGATCCAAAGGTGGTTAAAAGCTCTTGTCAACACAAAAAACTGCACACAGATATTTATAACAGCTGTATTCATAATTGTCATAACTGGAAAGCAATCAAGATGTTCTTCAGTAGAAGAAAAGATAATTAAACTGTGGTACATTCAGACAATGGCATGTTATCTAGAGCTAAAAAGAAATGAGCTATCAAGCCACAAAAAGACATAGAGGAAACTTAAATGCATATTATTAAGTGAAAGAAGCCAATTTGAAAAGGCTATATGCTATATGATTCCAACTATATGGCATTCTAGAAAAGGCAGAACTGTGGAGACAGTAAAAAGATCAGGTTGCCAGAGGTTAAGAGGAAGGAAAGATGAATAAGAGGAGCACAGAGGATTTTTAGGGCAGTGAAATTGCTCTGTATGTTATTGTAATGGTGGATAAATGTCATTACACATTTGTCCAAAATCATAGAAAGTACAACATCAAGGATGAACCCTAATGTAAACTATGGACATTAGGTAATAATGATGTGCCAGTGTTGGTTCAAGTGCAAAATGTGAGAACCAAATGCAAAAAAAAGTACACTTCAATAAAATTTTAAATTTTAAAAATTGAATCAATGTTAAGAAATATATACTGGGATATGAATGAGATGATTCTTCCTGTGGTTTATTATAACACAGCTCATTGTGCCACTTTGAGCCAAAGATCCTTATTTTATGACATCTTGGTCTCACAGAAACACCAGTAGAAACTGTCTCACTTTTTTCCTCTGCCCCTGTGTAATCCAATCTCTAGCAAGAAAAGGGTTGTAGGCATCACCCTTCCCAACCAATCAGGGATTAAAAGTGGTGCTTTACTTTTACACCAGTTTGCTTTGCAGGATCCCTACTCCTGCATAGCAAGTCAGATGTCCCAACCTTGAGCCACCTCTGATTACGCCTCACCATGGGACCTCTCTAGTATAAGCAGACATACTTACTTGGTTATTTAAAGATTCATTCTCTTGGTTAAATTTCGGCCTTCAAATGCTTAAGCCCATCATGGTACAAGCACTGTTTCTTCTAATAATGGCATCTTGTAACCTTTAACCTACTTACTTGATTGCTGTGCAAAGCCTCCTTTTTCCTTGTCAACCCCCTAAAATGCAATTGTTCTACTTCTAACCGGTTGACACAAATCACTTTAGAATTTGTTTTCTCCAGTAGTTAATTGCTTCAGGATGAATAACTAGTCCTTTGTATTACCTTCTATTGTAGTAATCCAACTAAACTTTAAAATAGACTCTTTTATTTCAAGTGGTAATTGTATGAATGAAAAATAACATGTCAGAAAAATGGCCATTTCTTCATATTCAGATGGCTTACTCTGCCATGATACACCACCATGCTCCCCAATATTCTGGGTCTTAATTGACTTCTTGCAAAAGACAAGAATAATTTTTCTCCTTTTGAAATTTTCTAAATTAGGATCACAAACCCAATTTATAAACTCATGGATACTGTGCTGAAAGTTATGTATCACAATCACCAACTAATGCACAAACCTCAGTTATGAACATATGATTTACTTGTATTGTAAACATATTTGGTAAAGAGTCATCCATATTTCCACATCGTGAAGAAAAAAGAATACATATCAACACTAAAGATCAGAAAAATTTTAAAATAATGCACAAAAGCAAGTGTAAAGAAATTAGTATGGAACATTTTGGTACTTTTCCCTAATCCTCTACTGTTATTATGAAATGCTTATCTAAACATTTTTCCTGTTATAAGCAATTGCCTTAATATGACCCTGAATTTCCCCAAAACTTAAGTGAAACATGACTTCTGATGCATCATAAATCCTTATTTTAGAACAAGTTATTTCATTGATCCACTCAATTATTTCTGAATCTTTATCCCTATAGTGATGTAATGATCTCTTAAGATACAAGAGGTTCACTCTGTCATAACCTAAAGTAGTATTTTTATGTTGAATTACAATCAATAAAAGGACTGGTACTTTATTTCCTCCGATATGAGACCTGTGTTCTTGTCCTGAACTACTATTGATGAGCTGTGTGAACCTGCCGGTATTTTTGTCCACATCTGGAGAGGAGAGGAGAGGAGAGGAGAGGAGAGGAGAGAGAGAGAGAGAGAGAGAGAGAGAGAGAGAGAGAGAGAGAGAAAAGAAGAAGGAAAGAAGGAAGGGGGAGGGAGGGAGGGAGGGAGGGAGGGAAGGAAGAAAGTTGAACTGTCTTATCTTTAAAGCCTATTCAAACTACCTGTAAGGTTTCTTTATATTTTATATTTTAAATATGCTATTCTTTCCCAGGAAATGTTGGACAGAAAAAGAAAGATAGTAGGTAGCATAAGTGATCTCTTTATCAACAGGTGATCCCTGCTTCTGTTCATTTGACTGACTCTCAAAGAAGAAAAAAAAGTTGTTCATTTACTTATTCATTCAATATATTTAGTTAGTATTCAATAAAAATTTTATCATTCAGTTCGTATCAGTCATTTTGATAGGTATTAAGAATGCATTCAATGATGAGCAAGGCACTACTGAAAAGAAATTAACTCACTTGCTCTGACTTCATTAGGAAATAGAACTTGACACTCTGCGTGACAACCAGAAATTTGCCTTTGATGTTTCTACAATTTTAATTTGGAACACAACAATTTACCAAATAGATCATTGCATTTTTTGGGGGGAAAATCAATTATAAAACATCATTTAAATACAAAGTTTGATAAGATTTTTGAGTTCATAAATATGGAGCTATTGAGTGTTTGAAATATGGCTTATGCATCTGGGGAATTGAATTTTAAATTTGGTTTCATTTTACATAATTAATTTAAGTGGCCACATTTGCCTAATGGCTACTGTATTGCATAGCATATCTAACTAAGGATTTTATTTGAAATAGCAAATTTCACTTAGTGTGAAATTTCTAAATCTCTTCCTGACTCATATTTTGCTATGTAAGAAAAGACCTTAGAGGGCCAGCCAAGTGGCACGTTGGTTAGGAGTTGGCTTGGGATGCCAGCTCTAAGCAGCAGGGCTCTGGTTCGGATCCCACATATGAGGGGCAGTGATGCTGCACCCTCTACAGCTAAGATGGTGAACAACAGCTCAACCTGGAGCTGGGCTGCGATGAATCACCGGCAACAGTGTAGGCTGCAGTGGGGCTGGCTAGCAGCGAATGTGAGCTTTCATGAGCTGCTGAGAGCTGCCGTCCAATGACTGTCAAGCAACTGCCTCACCCGGGAAGAGCACAATGATAATACCAAAATGGGCCAACGAAGCGACGTCTTCCACAACTAGACTGAAGAACAAAAGGACAGCAACTTGTCTGTTCTCCTTCCCCGATTCCCCAACGCTGTTCCCCTCCCCCAATTCCCCAATAAAATCTTTAAAAGAGAAAAAAAAAACAACTTAGAGAACATTCTGTGCATGATCCTTTTTATAGTGATTTTTAAACTGCATTGTATAT